CGGTGTTTGCCATCGGGGTTGGGTTTTCGTCGCTTGGCAACGACGTTGTAAAACAAGCCCCCTCCCCCTCCCCCGGTGTTTACCGTCGGGGTTGGGTTTTCGTCGCTTGGCAACGACGTTGTAAAACAAGCCCCCTCCCCCTCCCCCGGTGTTTACCGTCGGGGTTGGGTTTTCGTCGCTTGGCAACGACGTTGTAAAACAACCCAATTCACTTCGTGAACTCGGCACCCAGGTTACCGTGCGGAAGGCGTCCGCGTCAGTTGGACCAGCACAGACAGTAGAAGGTACGCGGAGACCGGAACGATATTTTAGTGTTTGTAAGCCAATGATCTTTCAACGATCCTCTCCGAGCCCACGTCGGTCGCAGCACCAACAAGGAGCCTACCCACCGTAGGTGACATGACATGACGCAAGATACCACACCCCCTGGATCCTATTTTCAAATCTCGACTACATCTCTCCTCCCCAGAAGAGCGGCGGTGCCGAGAGTGTCGGGGTTGGAACCGATTCGTCGAGCTGCTTCCGAAGACACGACACATCATCTGAGGTAGTCATCCTCGTCTACGCGGAGTACAGCAGTATTCGAGAGCATTCAGAGATGATCCAGGGGCATGGTATCTTTTGTGTCATATGTCACGTACGATTCAACAATGCTGCACGTCTACACGTCAACACCATCTTCGATACATATCCTCCGCACCAAGAACGTCGTTGATTGTTAACTAACTGGCCATTCACGATTCGAGCTGGTGCTGTTGCCGATGCACATCCATTTACCACAGTTTCCCGCATAAATCACCGCGTGTACAGCAGTGTACATACGCGACGTAATTGAACAAATAAAACGAACAGTCCGATGATGCACAGCAACTTCCCGATCGCCAACGCCTCTCTTCCGTAGGGTAAAACCACAGGATCTATCATAGACCCAAAATAATGCTTCGAAGTCTTGTGTTCTTAAGATTTGGAGGTACACAGCCGTTTGCTGTTGCGTTGGCAAGGTAATGTGCCGCGTTGCAACCTGCATCTTTACCTGGCCATCTCTCTGTGGTGCTTGTACTGCCCTGCTGGAAAGGGAGATAGGCAAAGTGGACAACATCTCACTAAAAAGTTCAACTTCTAAGACAGGACAAAGCAAACAGGGAAGGTATCTACAGTGGGTGCTCTGTATCCACGGCTCTTCGACGAGATCGAAGCAAACCGATGACGCGGAGGAAACATGGCGTGTAACAGGTGCACACAGCAGTCTGGGGGCTATGATCACACGGCTCTTTCCTCTTCAGCACTGCTTTTGCTGCTGACGCTGATGCTGCAGGCTGCGCTGCAGGTGGCAGTGCAAAATGTGACTCCAAGCGAAACTTACGCTGCTGCTGCAATTACCCTGCACGCTACTGGCTGTACGAAAACGCACGCAGCAGCAGACTCCCAAAGCAAACGGCGCGAGAGTTGTACACTGAGACAAGTCAACAGACCCGATCTGGTTGTATGGTTGCTGTCGTCCAACGGACCACACGGGTGGGGAGCAACGTCTGTCTCGCACCTCTTCTGCCTTCGCCGCTTTCCCGTCTCTCGAAAGGCTTGGGCGTTCACCGCTCTCTCTAGGGTGTGTTGGCACAGCAAAAAGGCCGCACCTTCATCGGAGGGGAATGGGTCAGCAGCATCGGTGGTTGTACATACATAGTTCGGGTAGTAGGGTGGAAGGAACACGAGGTGTTGTGTGGGGTACACGTACGAGCAGAGCGAGAAAAATCTAGATATGCATAGTCTAGAGCCGGTTAAGGTGTGTGTGTGGATACCATGATGGACGATTCTAAATGGTGGTGGAACCTTAACCTTGTCATCTTTGGTGACTCCACCTCCTCTCGCCTGCTGCGTCGTGTGGGTAGCATAGTGCTAGCATACAGCATACAACTTAGCATATGGGCGATCACATCCGTGTGTGCATACGCGTGCCTGCTGGGCCGCATTTGCTAGCAGACATGCGGTTCGCATCACGCAACTATTCCGAACGACGCGTTGAAATGAACGCTGTTCGATTTGGCATGTCAAGAAACTTGTTTCATGTTCATGTCGTGTGTTGTCGCAATGTATGGGCGCGATCTTTGCTTTGTTTTGGCGAGAAGAGTTTGAATCCGAAGGGGCGAAAGTGGATCCGATCTATAGGATGGTTCGTCTGTCTGAGCTTCTCGAAAGAAATAAAAACAAAGCAGAATTCTGTAATTTGTTCTTCCAGTTTCCGTTCTCATGGCTTTGTCCACACGGGACTTGCGTCAACACGGCAGTACTACAAGCTTCTTTGTCTGAGAGTGAAAGGTCACCCATAACCCGAATGGGTCCTCGAGCCCCCAAAGAGCGCTGCAGTCGTCAAACTGCTGTGGATGGGTATACATATGTACTGCTGTAGGACGACACGACAGCACGCGAGATGCCGTGGTGGCATGACGATGACAGGCACCACAGACGTTTTTCCTCCGTAAAGCTGACCCGAACCCGCGCACACCTCCTCCAACTCCATAAAACCTATGTATGCATGTGTGCAGGGACAAGCGGCGAGGGTGTCCGTCGGGAAACAAACGCACCTCCCGTTCGACTGCTGTGGTCATATCTCGAATGGTGATCTGTGTTTGGTTTTAGCATATACGAAGTACTCCTTCGTATGATGAACATATTTCCTATTAGACTTGACTAGACTACAGGTCTAGACGACACCCTGATGAGAACCCGAACACAACCGTTCTCGTCCACAATTCCCCCGCGAACTTACGTAGAATGATGATGCAAGGAGGATGAGACTACAGGATCCCTGACAATGCTCATGAGGGCGAGCGCACAGCAGCAGCACGCGTTCCCTATCTATCTACGGACGCGCCAATCAACAAGCTTGAGCACTGGCTAGCCGTGCTGGAGGCTGGACGAGCTCATTATGGTCCCGGATGCAGCGCGGGGTGCAGAAGTAATCACGTCTACACCTACCACTTTTGCCACATGAAGTCGCCACTACTGCTGTTGGTTGCTCGGTATGCTCAGCTCAGCACTCGGAGTAGCTCAGCCCACCGAGGCGGGGGTGAATCACACCGCGCTCACCTTATTTCGCCGCTTAGAAAGGCGCAAGGCGCAAGAGGGCAGGCGCGGTGTCTGCGCCCGCCTTGTTTCGCAGGAAAAGAAGGGAAGCTGCCAAGCAACTTTCTTGTGGTGCCACTGCTGCCGCCCCAGCGAGTACCACAGCGCGCCGACCACCACAGCTGGATGGATGACACAGAGACACCGCTCGCTTGGTGTAGGGATAAATCTCTACCACAACAGGGAGCCTCAGCGGTGTGATGATGAGAGCGCAGGAAACAGAACAAAAAAGTGAAGAAATGACTGCGGTTGTGAGACAGACCCGGTCTTATGATTTACAGAATCGGAATCGAAAATCGAAATCACAATTCAGTTGAGTCTTCAAGAGCCAAAGAACATCTGCTGTGATCGGATTGTTGTTGTTGACTTCACATTGA